TGCTCTCCAGTTTAACTCTAAACTGCTGTAAACCTTTGTAAGTGTGATCTGGAGTTTTTAAATTAACAATGATAGTTACTAGATCCAACCTACTTTGTTCTATATTGCCATAAGTGACCTTCAACAAATCAACTACTTCCTTGTAAGAGTCATCTACATTGGGAATGGCTTGTATGAGTATGTGAGCATCTCCTCTTATCTGTCCTTTGAGGTAAAATAATTTAGTAACACATGCTAAATCACTCCTATCATGCACAGCTGCTTTAAAAATTGACCGAAACTCCTCCCAGTTTTCTCCAGGATTAAATACAGATAAACATAATTCTGGGAGTTTTGGCAAAGACATCTTATTTGTTGGAATAGATTGATTAACTGCCTGGTTTACACCTTTTAATTTATTCAAAGCCTGACTTTTACAAGAAAGAATTTTTTCTTCTGATTCATAATACTGGTTAATCATAAGATCCATTTCTGTCTCATCTGCACAATTTACTAACAAATCTCCTTCATATTTTTTATAATATAATTTGTATGAATCATATCTATTCCCTAAAGCACTATTCAGTTTCCTGATTCATTAATTCCAAACATTTATTGTATGCCTTTGGTACATGACCCTTTCTAGCTTGTAATGATGCTTTCTTTGCTCTAAATTCTGTGTTTGTCCTCTACATTAATTTCCTTATTTTAACCCATAATGCAATGTATTAAATTCAACTTAATTAATAACACTGATTATGTACTTAATTATTCACTTTATAAAGGTAAATATTACAAATTTGAAATCCTAGCTACACTTGAGCTTAGCAATTACATGTAAGGAAATTATAATATAAATTCTAAATACATTAATATAAATCCTAGCTACACTTGGGCTTAGCAATTACACATGTAAGAAAATTATAATATAAATTTTAAATACATTAATATAAATCCTAGCTACACTTGAGCTTAGCAATTATATGTAAGGAAATTATAATATAAATTCTAAATGCATTAATATAAATCCTAGCTACACTTGAGCTTAGCAATTACACATGTAAGGAAATTATAATATAAATTATAATTACATTAATATAAATCCTAGCTACACTTGAGCTTAGCAATTATTATTGTAGTAATTATAATCCACTACTCATTAAGTAAATTTGTGGACTTAACATCCACCTCCTTCTGTCATTTCACATAATTATTAAGTAATTAATTCACTAATTAATGACTTCACTAATTACACCCGGTTCGATCAAGGACCAATGGGCAACTATATGGAAAATTTAAAATTATCTGGATGAACCTCATAAGATACATACCAGTAAATGGTAACAAAGATAATTATTCTTTATCAGGGTTACATAGTTAGTTAGTTTAGTTTAATATGTTTATTATGCACCCCATACCCATCCTGTGGGCGGTAGTCAAAAGATTACAGAGGTACATAATTGGTCCAGGGACTGGACTCCAAAGTTTTGATAGCTGAGCAAGTTACAGAGGTAATGAACTCACAATTTACAAAGGTAATGAACTCACAATTTACAAAGGTAATGAACTCACAATTTACAAAAGTAATGAACTCCAGGTAGGTCTGGTCACAATCATGACAAGTTACAAAGGTATTTACAGATTACAGAGGTACGTAATGGGTCCAGGGACTGGGCCCCCGAAGTTTTGATAGCTGAACTAGGTACAAAGGTAATGAGCTCACAAGTTACAAAGGTAATGAATTCTGTAAGAATGGTTACTTACATTTATACATGGCTACAATCATGAACAAATTATAGTGTAATGAGCAATTCACACTTCCACACCCGGTCACAACTGTAATGAGTTATTGGTGCAAATATTGATTGTTGAGACACATACACACACACACACACACACACACACACACACACACACACACACACACACACACACACACACACACACACACACACACACACAGAGGACCTAGTAGCGATCAGTGAAGAGGCGGGGCCAGGAGCTGAATCTCGACCCCTGCAACCACAATTAGGTGAGTACACATACATACACACACACACACACACACACACACACACACACACACACACACACACACACACACACACACACACACACACACACACACATACATACACATGCATGCACATACAACAGGCCTAGTGTCTAATCGACATGTGCCTAGGACCAAATGGTAACTAACACACACACACATTCCTACATAGACATGTAGGAATTTTAGGACACTCTAGGTCACAAAAAATGTCCCCCTTCGAAACTTACTGTCATATCTCCACAAGTCACTCTGGACCTATATTAATTTCAAATGAAATATACATCACCAGGAATTCTGGTAAACATTAATATTAATATGTGGACTGTATGTTAAATTTGATAAATGACTACATATACATTGAAGGAGAATTTATAATAATAACACACCAATTTGTCTGGAGATTACTTGGTGTATCATACACAAACCCCCTGCCTAAAATATGAAGAAAATACTGGCCAGAATTTCAACATAAATATACACATGACTTAGCTGGGGTTCCCTGACTGTCCTGTCCACTCGCCTAATTCTCACGTTCTGCAGGACTGCAAATCCAACAATTTTGGCTCCTATTTGAGAGGTTTTAAACACAACATAACATCTAGAGTGACGAAAATTCTTCCAATTTCCATTAACGCTCCTTCACGCAGTTCAAAACAATGGCGTCTCCCCAGCGATGCTCACCAATTTCGCTGGTTCTTCATTTATTTACAAATTAATTTTTGTTACCTACAATATATTCCATCAGTTTACATACAAAATACACTGTATTTTCGGAAAATATACAGTATTTTCCACAATAACTTTTACGTGGTCATGTATTATCCTGATAGCAGTTTCTTTGCACTGGGCTTGGGTTATGTCACTAGGAATGTGTGGGCTGTTTATTATAATTGCTGCAGACAACTTATCTTGTTCAGTTTTGTCATCTTGGAAATCAAGGTATTCATTCATTCGAGTGTGAATGTTCTGATTCCAGTCCTTGATTGCTTCTCCACATTTTACCTGGCCTTTCATCCTAACATGCCGTCGACATAATTAGTCACCCACCACCCTAGTTACTAACTACACAATCAACTGCACACTCACCCACCCAGTCACCTATCATCCAATCACCATCCACACTGAACCACCGTCAACCACACCTATCACTCACACCACTCCTCCACAGCTTCAAGCCTGCACAGCCCCACTCGCACACCTTACCCATTATGAAAATTTTATAAGGTTACCTGTATGAAATTCGTCATTGCATTCATACAAAAAATCTCATTGTGTGGTGACAACCATATATTGTTTACAGTAGTTACCCAGTGTAGAAGTGTGAGAAAACTTAAGCCACTCCTGGTAGCTCCAAGCGGCCCTTTGACCTCAAATCTTATCCACATCTATCCTAGACCAGTACCATAGATTAAGGTTGGATAACACCAATAGGCATGGTGTTACAAATTAGTTGTGGTCTGTATGTATAAAATAAGATTATCACTTACCCGATGATTGGTGGTCACTGGAGATCTTTGTAATGCCCACAGTACCTGTCCTATTATAACACCTAACTGGCCAGTTATGAGTTTTATATAATAAGAATGTTTACTTAACTGTGGGCGAGGAGGCAGCATTCCTTGGCTTCCTTTATTTCCTTCTTTGTTTAGATGTTCTGCTAAATCTATACGATTCCTTTTCCAGCAGGACTATAATATCACTTGTGTTGTCCCGAGTTTGGAGTCGAGACTCCAGTAGAACTTTGCAGTCTCGCACGGTTACATGTGTTTACTCGGAGAATGGCGACTCACTTCACTTCACACATTCCCTTAACTTAAAAGGCATTTCATCACTTCCTCCTCAATTCACAAGGCGACTTAGACTTAGCGTTCTTTTAATTTAACACATGTTAGAAGTCGATCCATTAAGATCTGAGCCCGATGAGTGTCGATTGAACAGTTGGATATTTTCTCCAATAAACTCGTTGATCTTGGCGTCATGTCATTCCCGGTTGGGCGTCCCTCACTATTCACTATTATTTTTTTTTTCATACTATTACGTTCCCTCACTCTTCACCAGGAACAACTACAAGACTTCCTATTATGAAGAGAGACCACTAATCACGTTTCGGCCGTCGGAACCGCCAAATTCCTGGTTCCATGTTAAAGAGGATAACGTGTCATAGGCCTATGACCCACGAGACTGCCCACGCATGCCCAAGCCTCCCCTCTCGGCCCTCAGCGCATGCGCAGGGCTTCTCTGTTGGTTCTCTAGCTTTCAAATGTATTTTAGCCCAACAGAAACACATTACATATTTACATGATACAATATAAATCTGAGAAATTTGCATCAAAATTTTCGACACCCATGCTTTCATTGGCTACACACCCTAACAGGCCATCCACACACCTAGTCACGTTGCCACTCCCATTCTAATTACCGCCCCCACAAACATAAT